GAAACACACAGCGTCTCCCTGACATGGCTGCATCAACACTACTGCTGTTCCTGAAACCACGCCTTCTTTCTTTGCGTGCACATTTGGGCTGCATTATGCTAATATTTCCACATAGTGATGTAGATATGTGGGGGCGTGTTAGAACGAGCCGTTTTAGGTAGGCGTGGCTTAACTTTTATAAAGAATATCTCTTTGGATTTGAGACTTTAGTCTTTGCAACTTTACAGATCTTTATGCACCAAGAGCTTGTAACACTCCAAAGAGAAAGGAAAACTTGAAATCGCATCATATGACCCCTTTAAGTATTTTGAGAGCATAGGGAGACTCGATTACATCATTCACAGTGCTTCATGGGAGTGGGCGGAGCTAAAGAGATCTATTTGCCCGTTTTACTCTCCGATTGGTGGAGAATTCCCTGCAGAATCATGGGTAATGTAGTTTTTATACCAGGTACATGATTATCTAAAAATAGGTTATAATAATGCAGGCTGATGGCTTCAACAAAAGCCTAAACCATTAATTAACAACCTCGTAGAACACATTAGGTCTGTCTTTACTGGTTTATAAGTTACCATTAAAAAAAATTTTCCCTAAAGAATAAAATGAATGGAATTTCTACTTCACACTCACCTCATGGGCTGCTGAGCTTGGATCAGGACTCAGATCAGAACTCGGATCAGGATTCATATCAGGACTCAGATCAGAAATCGGATCAGGATTCATATCAGGACTCAGATCAGAAATCGGATCAGGACTTGGATCACGATTCAGATCAGAATTCGGATCAGGTTTTGGACCAGGACTCGGATCAGGATTCGGATCATGACTCGGATCAGGATTCGGATCAGGTTTTGGATCAGGACTTGGATCAGGATTCAGATCAGAAGTCGGATCAGGTTTTGGACCAGGACTCGGATCAGGATTCAGATCAGGTTTTGGATCAGGACTTGGATCAGGATTCAGATCAGAAGTCGGATCAGGTTTTGGACCAGGACTCGGATCAGGATTCAGATCAGGTTTTGGATCAGGACTTAGATCAGGATTCAGATCAGGATTCGGATCAGGACTCGGATCAGGATTCAGATCAGAAGTCGGATCAGGATTCGGATCAGGATTCAGATCAGGATTCGGATCAGGATTCAGATCAGAAGTCGGATCAGGTTTTGGACCAGGACTCGGATCAGGATTCGGATCAGATTTTGGATCAGGACTTGGATCAGGATTCAGATCAGGATTCGGATCAGGATTCGGATCAGGACTCGGATCAGGATTCAGATCAGAAGTCGGATCAGGATTCGGATCAGGTTTTGGATCAGGACTTGGATCAGGATTCAGATCAGGATTCGGATCAGGATTCAGGTCAGAAGTCGGATCAGGTTTTGGATCAGAACTTGGATGAAGACCTGGATCGGCTGTGACAGCTGCTGGAGAATCCTGTGAGAAACACACACACACACACGCGGTGTGAGAGCGGCCAGTCGTGTGAAGGTCACCGTGACTCTGCTCGGCACGGTCAGTGCTCTCACCTCAGCGGTCAGCTCCACACCTCCGTCCATCTGTCCAGCAGCAGACATGACTGAAACACAAACTCAGAGCTCAGAGCTCAGCACTGGACGCAGCCGACCGGAGCGACGCTTCAGCCCGACTGACCAGCTTCTGCTCCGGAACGGACCTTATCAGAGACGCTTCCCCGTTTAGAAACACTCGAGCGTTATCACTGCTGGAGGAGAAAGTGTCGCACACAGAAAGGAATGTGCAGAGATATGTGCACCTCACACTAACCATTACCATAACTAGTCCTAGTGCTCATAGTGATGACAGCAAACCAAGTACTGAAGTTCAGAGTGTGCCGATAAAACACACACGAGCCTCACACTAACCCTCAGTTAACCAGCACTGATGCTGACTACTAAAACTAGTGCCAGAGATCCGACTGAAACTGAGACAATGAGCTCACATCCATCAGCTCGAGTTCATTCGTACGACTCGTGTCGTTCACCACAGACAGCAGTTACTACTTCTGATGCAGAACATTCACATCTGTGTGTGTGTGTGTGTGCGGATCAGGTATTACCCACATTATGGGTCCACACAAAGATGGCAATATACAAAATCCTTGACCTTGTGGGGACATGAGGAAAACAGCTTATAAATCCTACAGAATGAAGTGTTTTGAGAATCTAAAAATGCCTGTAGTTTTGTGTGAGGGGAACCAGATCATAACAATCCTCAAAAACACAAAAGAGCTTGATTAATATTTCAGTCTCCAGTCATCTCAACACAAATATTGATTTTCATCTTAACTACAGGAAGACTACTGTTATAAACCTACTTCAGAAAACGAGTTTATTTGATTTGACTGATTTTAACTATTTCAGATAATAATAATAATAAAATTGAATAAAACACTATTTTTCAGGAATTTCACAATGAAAATATTTTTAATTCATGTTTTAATTTATATAAAAAATTATTTGAGTAAAATTCTAAAAAAGTGAATTGAAATTATGAATTAGAACAAAAATGAAATGTTTTGTTGTAAAATAATTGTTATATTTTCACTTGATTATATTTTAAACGATTTATTTGATTACCACAGTTGTTTGATGATACATTTGTAATAAATCATAACACAGAATTTAGGAAAGATAAATTAAAATGGAATTTGGTAATAAAGAAATAAAGAAATTACCTTTCATTTGGTCATATAATTACATTAAAAATGTAATTAAATTGCTACATTGTTAAAGTTTCATAAATTAATTTGATTAGATATGTTTTTTGATGTTTAAAAATTAATGAAACCATTAAAATTAAAATGGAAAACACAGAATTTGAATCATAGAGTCCACATACTTCCCAACATGAAACTATCTGAACATCAGCAGCTCTAAACGACCAACAAATCAAACACATGAACACAAGTCAGAGAGGACGTTCAGTGGAGTAAATGTGTTCAAAACCCTGTTTCCTCTTTTCATTCGCTCTAATTATAGAGCAGCGTTTAAGGGCCTGCTAAAAACGGTTTGTGGGATTGAGGCGCTCTCGTTTTCTAAGTTTGACAAACATGTGTGAGACAGCAGTGAGTCTGGATGAGGGAATGATGAGGCACAATCACAGGAAAAGCTAAACGCTTTAACCATCAGAATCCAAAAAGAGAAAAGCAAAACATAAACAGAGTGAAAACACAGGACAGACCGAGCAGACCATCCGCCTCCGTCAGTGACATCACGGCGCGTCTGGCAGGTTTCATGAGCTTCCTCAAACACCTCAAAGTCAAAGATCTCACGATGAGTGAGAGCTCAGGAGACACAGAGACAGATCAGATCAACAAGCATTCATCAGGGATGTTATTCTGGAGATATTATGAATCCTGAGAACATGATCAGAGCGAAAGACAGAAGATCATCTCACCTGCGTCTCAGTGTGATCTCAGAGTCGCTCCAGTCGCTGAGGAATAAGGTCCGGTCATTTTCATTCACAGTGACAGTAGTGTGATGTTGTGTGTTTGTTATCAGAGACCAAAGCACCTCAGACGCTCTCTCTCACACACACACACACACACACACACAGACGGTTTTACCGCGGTATAGCGATCAGTGTTTCATACGTTACTGATGTGTTCCTGTGTTCTTCTGAGTCTCTGCAGCTCCGGTGTGTCTGTGACGATACTGAAGCCTCGGCCTTTACTCTCCTCAAAGTCTCGCTTATATCTCACCTGCAAACACACACAGCGGCATCACGAGGACATTACACTGTTCAATCAGTCGTAGAGTGATTCTGTCACACTGAGCTTCAGACACATGAATACTGTGATCACAGTCTGTCTGATCGAAGCACACACGTGTGACTGACAGCAACAGTTCAGACCAAATTAATGAAAGAATCACTTCCTGCAGGACTGAAAGCAGCCGATTCATACCAACCGAATGAACGACTCCCTGCAGGACTGTGATTCTTATAGTGGATTCAAACTGACTGAATAAATTAATCACTTCCTGCAGGGAGTCGTTCATCCGGTTGATTTGAATCCGCCGCTTTCAGTCCTGCAGGAAGGTGATTCTTTGAGAGGAGCAGCATCTGCTCTGGTCTGCCGTCACCTTCTGTCAGCTCAGTGTGACACACACACACACACACACACACTCTCTCACACACACACACACACACACACAAGGACACATGTTCGTGTGTCTCATCAGAACAGACCCGTGACCCGCTTTTAGGTCACAATCTTCCAGAGAAGCCTTGAAACACAGACACAGTGTGATGTAATGTGTGGGACATCAGCGTCGATGCCACAGCTCAATCGACCGAACACAGACAGTGATCTGAACAAACTCATCTGGACGTCTGGAAACAGAAACACTGCAGAATGTGAAATATGTATTACTCGTAGCGTTTCTCTGTTCATTTCTCAGATCGTCTCAGACTTTTGCATGTAGAACAATCTTTGTGATCAAATGCCAGTGTTAATCTAATCAATAACAGACGCGAGACTCTGGTTTCCAGATATCTGCAGTGTTTCTGTGAGTTTCTGCGTCTGCACGAACATCCAGAAGAATCAAAGGAAGAAAACTGGGTCACCCTCGTAAAACACGGTTTGGATTTCTGTTCGTTTGAAACTGGATGTTAGAGCAGCTCGTCATGAAGCGTTGAGCTCCAGCTCCGTGTCACGCGTGACCAGTAACATACGTGTGACTCTCACCTGACTCTGTAGTTCACTCTGCTGCTTCAGACGCAGGTTCTCCGGCGTGTCCGTCACGATAGTGAACGATGTCTTGGGATAGTGACTGCAAGCAAAACATGAACATGACGGTCACTCAAACTTTCATTACTGTATGATGGACAATACAGTTCATTCATGGCTGCATGTTAACACAGTGATTTACACAAAAGCTGCATAATATCTGGATCAGGAGTAGATGTTGTCATGTTTGGGTGGATTTTTCCTTTAACGCTCGACAAGAGCTAAAAATTAACCTGTTCTTCGGTGACGCGCCGATAACCTTTCTGCTCTAATCACAGTAATAATCATCTCCTCAAACTCTGAAAATAACACAATAGCTTTTCATCGTGACTTCACTGCTATTGTGTGATAAAAATAAAGCATGAATGCCCATTGAATCAGCAGAACGTTTCCCTGGCAACCACTGACCCCGCCCCCAAACACATATAACCAATCAGCTCCTGATGGCACGGGTGCAGCTGTCAATCAAACATCATCACCGGCACATGTGGAGGAAACGACGGAGCAGCAGGACAGGAAGTGAGGGAGTGACTGTATCCTGAGAGAGAAACATTTCCCATGAGCCTCCATCTCTGCCTGCATGAGGACAGGAAAGAACCAGCAGGTTAAATGAATCCAGATCGTGTGCAGTGTTCGTCTCACACCGCTGCAGCGCTTCAGTTTTCACATCTACAGTCGGAGAGTCTCTGTAGATGTGAACGAGAGTTTGTTTGTTTTTCTGTCCCGGATGCTCTACAATTACAGCTCATAAACCAGAGCAGAGAGACTCTCTAGAGAGACGCTAATGACCGCTTGACGAGTTTGATCCTCCTGAAATCTCTTCTGCTCACCAAGGCTGTCTTTATTTGATTCAAAAATATGACCGTTTAAAAAATCTGTTTTCAAATCAGCATATTAGAATGATTTCTGAAGATCATGTGACACTGAAGACTGGAGTAATGATGCTGAAAATACAGCTGCGCATCACAGAAATAAATTACATTTTAGCAGTTACAGTTTATTTTAAATTCTAATAATATTTCACATTTTACTGTATTTTTTTTAAACTAATAAAAATAGCCCTGGTGAGCAGAAGAGACTTCGTTCAGAAATAATAAAAAATCTTAATTATTCAGTAAAACACACATAAGAGGACACGCTCACAACACAAAAGCACAAAGTTCATTTGAAGATTCACAGCATTAAGTGGTGACTGAGCAGGACTGAACACGTGTGTGCGTGTGTATATCAGTGTGTGTGAGTGTGTGTATATGTGCATATGAGAGTGTGTGTGTGTTTGTGCATATGAGTGTGTGTGTGTGCATATGAGTGTGTGTGTGTGTGTGCATATGAGTGTGTGTGCATATAAGTGTGTGTGTGTGTGTGTGCATATGAGTGTGTGAGGGTGAGTGTGTGCATATGAGTGTGTGTGTGTTTGTGCATATGAGTGTGTGTGTGTGAGTGTGAGTGTGTGTGCATATGAGTGTGTGTGTATGTGTGCATATGAGTGTGTGTGTGTGAGTGTGTGTGTGTGTGTGTGTGTGTGCATATGAGTGTGTGTGTCTGTGTGAGTGTGTATATGAGTGTGTGTGTGTGTCTGTGTGAGTGTGTTTATGAGTGAGTGTGTGTGTCTGTGAGTGTGTATATGAGTGTGTGTGTGTGTCTGTGTGAGTGTGTTTATGAGTGAGTGTGCACGTGTGTGTGTGTGTGTGTGTTGAACAGGTCTTCTGTTGTGTTCAGGACTAGAGTTATTCTCGTCTCCACTAGCAACTCTGCTCACTTTGTTTGAATCATGATGCTCAGTCCAGAGAAACAAAGAGCCGCTCTGTGGGACACTGAGGTTCTGCGTCTGAGCCAAAGAACACGCAGAAACCTGAAAAACAGGAGCAGTGACCATCAAGGCTCCGTCTCAACCAACACACACTCACTAGAGAACACACTCGATCCCTCCTGATGATACACAGGCTCAGAGTCGCTCAGATCAGAGACGAAGCTCACGGCGGTGAGAGTGAACCGAGTGTCCAGTGAGAGTTGAGTTCAGGCCTGAAGTGAGAGCTCAACATCATCAACATGCCAATATGTTCATATATTTATTACAGTTAATTAAAACAACAACAACAACAAAAACATTTTTGTTATTTGAAATAAAATAAACATTAACCAAAATAAATAAACTATAACAAATTTACATTTATTTTATTTTGGTTATTTGCCAAGGCAAATAAAAGGCCAAAACCTGAAAGGCTCTCAGTGAACAAAACACATTTGATGGTTTGTATAAAAGTTGCTTGTAAATGGGCAGTCAGTCATGACATCTTCATGTGTGTGTCACACTCGTTCATTCATGAGTATCGAGCAGCTTCTGTTTTACAGCAGCAACAGTGATTAAACCGTAAATTCCCGAACTGAAGAGCATGAATTTCTGTCCTGCTTTGCATCGTAATGAAGGAAATAACAGAAGGAGACGTTTGTGAGCGAGATCAACCGCTCTGTTAATCATTTAGGCTCATTTGTTTTCATCGTCACACAAACGAGCGCTTCCTCTTTGATGTGACATCACGTGTGACCACGCTTGAATGGTCCGGATCAGAAGAAGAGGTTTCCATAGCAACGTCCCACACACACACACACACACACACACACACACACACCTGAGTGAGTGAAACTCTTCTCGGGAGCTGCTGCTTCACATAGATTCATCTGTTTCATGAACTCACATCCTCTGATATACACAACTGCTATTCATCTAAACAAAACAAAACATCCCACCTACTGCTCATACCTGTATATGCTATCATATCAAATATGATCTGTCCTGAATCACATGAGAATCATTCATCAGGAGTTTTATAATAATAATTACAGAAATCAGCATCTAAATATACAATCTGCCTTTTCAAAGAGCGACTCTGGAGCTCAAACACCTTGAGGAAACATCTGAATCCCGTCCGCTTCAGGAGACAAGCACTAAAACACTCGCAGTCTCTCCTCACATTCACTTTATTGGATAACACAAACTGCATTTCTCTGTTGTTCATCGCTGTGAAGGTGATTAAACACAAACAAGTGCAGAGATGAAGCACAACTGATGCTGTGTGGAAATCTGGACGACTGAAGCGATTGGATCGGCCCGCACACTGACCTGCGTAGGTGCACAAACACACACACACACACACACACAAACATGAACACACACTTAAACAACACTCAAGCACACATACACACTCACACATGTGAGCACTGTGTTTATGGGTTGTTTTACAGGTGCTTCTGTGGATTAAGTAAACCCTAAACACTGAACACGGTCTCCATATGAAGCACAGGCCAATGATCACAGATCCTGCTGAACATACACACGAGTCTCCCACACACACATGTCTCTCTGTGGTCTCTCGGTCTGATTCTCGTGAGCGTGGGGTGAGTGTGGGTGTTTCACTCCTGAGGGCAAGCGTTTGGCCAACATTCACACTGACCGGCACACACGCGCACACACACACACACACACACTCACATACATACATACATACATACATACATACACACACGCACACACTCACATACATACATACAGTCATGTGTTTAATGATGTGTTATTATATAATTCAGCACTCGTGTGATATGAGCTGCATTATATAAAGATGAAAGAGAAACGCTGCTGCTGTATTAATGATGCAATTCAGCTCCATCTGAGACCATCTGAATAGACAAACATCTGAACAAGCATCTGAACACAGACAAACAAACATCTGAACAAACATCTGAACAGACAAACATCTGAACAAAAATCTGAACACAGACAAACAAACATCTGAACAAACATCTGAACACAAACAAACATCTGAACAAACATCTGAACACAAACAAACATCTGAACACAAACAAAAATCTGAACACAAACAAACAAACATCTGAACACAGACAAACATACATCTGAACACAAACAAACAAACATCTGAACACAAACAAACAAA